ACTATTTACGGGTTCATTATTTTTTTCAAAATCGCAAACCATCCACGGGCGAAACACGAATTGACAGCTTTTTGGTTTCATATGCATTTGTTTCGTGACAGCCACTGCCTTATTGGCACAATGTTCATGGTCAAAGGTATCGCACTGATGCTGTGTGGCCCCAAACCGATTGTAGAAACAGTCAGTTGATGATTGCTTAAGTTTCATCAGACCGGTGCAATATGATCCGACGGACTGCATTGATTTTGTGTATGATTAGTTGATAAGGAAATCGATAGTAGTCGAATGTGATCCGTCAAAAGGAAGAATTAGTCATAATAACAAATCACTGACAGGCCTGTCGCCCATCTCGTTAAATCACGTACACGAAAGTGTTTCATTGCGCAGTTCATAATTGAAAAACGTGTTCAGTCAACACATACGTTGATTCACACGTAACATCACGTTGCACATTGATTGGCCCCGACAAATGGAACATCGGGAAAGATATGAAACAGGTGATGAGTGAAATTTTGGCTGTGCCTACTGTGTTCGATTTGGAATAGGAAAAAGCTGGTCCCAACCAAAACTGCTTCACGCCGGAATCCATGTTAAACAACCTCGTACCTAATTTTGGGCCAAGCTCATCCACCGAACGGTCCTAGGGCATTATTAGTTACTAGTCATTCGTTTTTCATCTACTAAATAAATGTAAATGGTTTGCTTCATCCTTATTTATTCATTCATCATAGAAATGTATATTCAACTTTCATGGTGCTCGGGGCCTACAAAGGTTGCTAGGTGGATGCAGGAATTGCGAAGCTGATCAACCGCAGCGGGATTCGAACTCAAGACTTCCAGGTCACTATTTTGATTATCTTAACCATTTGACCATGGCTGTCGAAATATTTGCATTTGAGAATTCCCAACGGCGTCGTCGACATATAATTTTTCTCGTTCAGTTCAGCCTTATTTTTAATATACTCTAAAAACGAGTGTGGGTTGACGGGCGCTGGTTTGTTACATCATTCATTTTGCGCAATAAATCTTTCCATTTGGAATGCACTGTCCCTTTTTTGGTATGCACATCGAGCATTTCCAACCCCAATGGACGGATGTACACCTGGTTCGAGAGTGAGCGGTCCATAACAGGTGGTCTAGCCACATAGCCCCTACAGGTCTTAAATTCTGCTTTCTGCTTCATATCACATGGACTATGTACCTTTTAGTTTGTATCACGTTTGGTGAAACAATAAATTGTCTAACACGTCGTCAATTGTCTTCATTCTTCCATTGTCGTTAGAAGACAATGAGTATGTCCAGGAGAACAATGGGGTTCAAATGACGGTTACCAATGACAACATCGTTTCAGAAAAGTTGAGCTGTAAAGCTTCTTTCCCCCAATCCCAAAAATAAATTACAATTAAAAAATGCTCTTGGAAGATAAATGTTCGGTTACCATGGGATCACTGTGGATGAAACATTCTAATTAAAAATTAATTATTTCTTACCGGTAGCCAAAAATTGTTTGTTTTTACATATTCTCGATATTTGAATCAGTTTTGATAATTGGTTCATTTAATGGACTCAGTATTCCGAATTAACCAGACGGAAAATCATGATGCATATACTCGTTCGAGGTTTGGCTGGTCAGAAGACGTTTCAATCGGAAGGAACGGAACAAGGACCAAGTGATAACGTCGTTTAGCTTGCTTTGAATTGCTGAAGGCGCCTCAGGGGTTGATACTTTGCAACCTAAAACAATGTAATCTGCGTATTTACAGCCAATCAATGCAGGATGAATAAGAAATTCTTTGACACACATTGAAAATAAAAATGGGGAAAATGTTGCACCTTGCATAACAACAGAAGCAACTGGGTGAGTGGAAAACTATTTTGCCGTTGAGGCACGTAAATTGCTTCTATTTATGAAATCTGCTAACGTTTGGATTAACGCCGCTTTCGGCAATCAATTTGNAAGCATTTTTGTGGTCTAAGAACACCGTTCTAACGGTCTTACGTTTCTTATCCAGTGCCGAAATTATTGAATGAACAAGGTATGCAACGGCGTCAAGTAGTGAGCGTGAAGAAGTGTATGCAAATTTATGCATGCCGTGTTCCGCAGACTCAGTGACAACCCACGGTATCAAGTATCTCTCAAATAATTTGAGTGTGACTCATGTGCAAGCGATGGGACGATAATTTCCTGGTTCCTTTTTTGGAACGGCAGTTATCTTGGCCAGTTTCCAAATATCAGGGATTTTCCGCTTATCGGACAGTCACTGAATATTTCGGACAATGGGGTGGAAAGAGTATCCGCACATGCCTTGCGTACCACAGGTGATAGTTTATCCGGACCAGATGCTTTATTCATCTTTGTTTTCAGTAGCTGTTTCACGACTGTGGAGGGTTCGATAGGTGGTGTTGGTGTAGAACTGATTAAGTCTGGCCGGGCAGTTCACAGTAAACCTGAACTAAACTCGGAATTTAATCGTTCAATGTTGACAGTTTCCCTTTTGTGTTTATGGANTCGGCCGTTGATAGATCTTCACATGCCACGACAACTAGAGTTTCACAGGATAGTGTCGATATAAAATTTATTCAACCGATTTATTTCAGCCTTAATTGAAATTTTAAGCCGCTTGACATGGATTCTTTGTCCTTGTTTATAGGCCTGTTCTTTCCCTCTGTATAACTATTTTAGTAGCGGTGATAAATATCTGTCTTAACGGATGAAGACCGTTTCGAGTGGGCAACATTGTTTAAAACAAAACTTAAGGTAGTCCGCAATAAATTCACAGAGGATAGAAGGGTTCTGATCGGGAAACACCGAAAAATCTATGGCGGCAATCATGAATCTTAGCCGTTCTAGGTTCTCCGTTGAACAATTTTTTTGTTTCACTATCTTGGAAGGCCTTCTTAAAAACCTGTAACGGTTAGTTTTGCTGTATACAATGGGAAATACTTTTAAAATACAATGATCAGAATTGCTCAGAGAAGCATGTTTCTGGACTTCGAAAAATTGCGGTCCCTTTGTAAAAACGAAATTCAGTTGTGAATTGAGTTTGGTAGGAAAATGCACCAAATTTTAAAGACCCAATGGGGTGAGGAAGGTTACATCTCGTCTGTCAAAATCACCAACGAATACACACAAAGATTCGCTTGTTCTTGATATAATGGAGGTAGAAAAACTGTCAGAAAAGCTATTTATGGGTGACGTTTCTGAGATGTATCGAACGAAACCCACTCATAAAATGGAGCTTACACTAGATGACGTGGCAACTGATTTTGTATTCGTAGACGACGGCGGTTGATTTACTCCAGTTGTTGCCTAATACCTCCGTTGTAGTGACTCTTCTGTGGCTCAATCATAACATAAGTATAAGTGGCTGGCCACTCAAATGGTGATGAAAACCTGGTATGCGCATTGCCTAACTTGATGAACAGTAACAAATAAAAATAGAATGGCTAATTGGGTGCTACTTTTCTGAATTCAACTCTCGTTTCGGGTACATGGATAATTTGTATTTGTGCTCATTTTTCCCTGCAGTTGAATGATCAAATGTGACAATGACCTCGGCCGCTCAAGGCAATCGTCTGGTCGATGCATTCCAAGACGCGTTCATTCGGCTCATCCATTTGGTCATTCCGGCTTACGATGCCGGCATGTGGAACTATTTATTCGAACCGGCTCCGAATGGGACTGGTTCAAATGATCCCCGTCTACTCCAGGCCACGAATCTGACCTATCAGGGTCAGTGGAGTCGCACTATCCAAAATCTATTGATCCAGCCGTACAACTCGCTGGATGTGTTCGCCTGGGTCACCTCGGACGGGACGGGAGCGAATACAGCTTTGGCAAAGATTCTAAGCCAACCGCGTCACATGTTCCTTGTATGTGTTGTCATGTCCGTCGTTCTTTTGATCGCTCTGCTGTTCACGGTGGCCACTCTGCTGATCCCTTTTTGTTGCTGGGACGAGGGATGTGTTTGTCTCCCGACGAGAAACTCAGCCTGTGCGTGTATCGGTTGTGACAAATCTTCCCCAGTGTTGGAGATGGGCGGTGCCAGTGGTGGTGGTGGCGGCGGCGGTGTGATTCGGAGAATCAGATCTCATGGAAACTTAGCTCTTCCACCGTCTTATCTCAACGACGAGCCAAGACGGACTTTATCGATTGGATCCGTTCGTCAATGTTTGCATAATCCCCGGATTGGACAGTGGGCAGCCAATGCTGATTCACCAGCCTCATCCGACCTGTATGTGAATGTAAGCTATCCAATTTGCAAAAAATAGAAGTGACTAAAATTACTTTGGTGTCTTTTGAGACAGAAATAGGCTCAGAAAACATTATGTAATTTTGCTTGATTATTTCTACTCTACTTGAATATAATTTGAACCTTTTAAGATTAGCAACAAGCTACATAGGAGAATGAAATTTGAGCCCCGTTAACTATTAAACCAGTAAAACTTTTCCAAGGCTGAAAATGAGCTTTCAGGTGTTGAAATATACCAGCTATATTTGTAGCCCAAGGGGGTGAATGTGATCCCCTTGCTGTACCGCTGATGATTAATCGATAGGCTATATTCACTCACTTGTATGTTTAATCTTTACTCAACTGTCCGCTTTTATTTAATCGATTTAAAAATCCTTCCTACTGTTCTTTAAATGAAACCTAGTACGACCAAAAATCAGTTCATTTAATTAATGCA